GCCTTAATTTTTTCCATGGACAGAAATACTATTTAATAGTACCTTTTAAAATCATGCAGTAACTTACACCTGGTTTGATGGAAGAGAGAGTACTGTCATTATTTAGGACAGAAGCTGCAAATTATCTTTTGATGGACAAATGCAAAAGAACACTGAGAAAGATTAAAGCTCCTCCTCTGCCAAACTGGAAGCTGCCTGGCTGAAGGCCAGCTCTGGTACAAAAGCTGTAGAGCTTCATTAGGGAAATGTTGCACCCAGATGAACAAATCCTGCTGAGCATCAGGGCTGAGTGCCACACTAGTGTGGCTAAAGAGCTTCCAGGCCAGAGCTGGCTGGCACCTTTCTTTTCAGTTCTGAGTGTGGGTTTTGGTCAGTGTGCACCCAACTGTTAGATGTTTCTACCCCAAAACACCCCAAAATGACTATTTTAACAAAAGAAATAGTAACACTTCCTCTTTCCGCACAAAATTAGGTTTAATTTCTGAGTGGTGCTAAAATGAAGACTGAAAGAAATTAATAGTTTTGTGTATTCTGATTGTGACTTAATTAGGAATTTGTTGTGATTCCTTTCATAGCAGGTACATAGAAGCAGTTCTGCAGAACTTGTATGATTTTGATGGCGAACTAAGCCATTCTATTTCTGTTAAGTTGATTTTATGTAAACTTCAAGTAAATCCTGTTGTTCAAACATCTTAAAACAAAATTGATTTGGAAGGTTGGAAAGTTCCAGGATGAAGCTGGGAGAAAAATAAAGCAGTGATATTTCTGTAGTCCTGGCTGTGCAAGAGGGGAAAACTACTTTTTTTTAAGAGCTAGAAACACCGAAACACCTGGCATTAATGGAAGTGCCTTGAATCTTGATCTTTTACAGCTTGTTCTGTAACACATGTAAAAGCTTAGCAGGTTATAAAACCATTTTTTTTTCATTACACATCTTTTCCTATAAAGAAAGAAATTCCACAAAGCAGTTATTAGGTATTCATTGTAACCTATAATGTCAGCATTTCTTAATGAACATCTTTGGTTAAAATGAGAAAATAACAACTACTTCTGGAGTAAAGAGCTACAAATCCTCCCCACCAAAAGAAATCACAAAATGATAGAAAATTGGTCCAGAATTAATTTCAACTGGTTGTTCAGTCTGATTTGCCTAAAAGCAGAAATCTGTCTCTAAACTATTCCTGGCATATGTTTGTTCTACTTCTTTATAACTTTCTGTGATGGAAGTTCTATCACTCAAGCTATCCCTGCTATTAGAAAAAGGTAATGGTTTGGTTGGGGTTTTTTTGTGTGTTTTGTTTTTTGCCATCACCTCCCCTTACATTTTCATGTCCAATCTTAATTTTCCCTAGTTCAATATAAGCCTGCTTTTTCTTATCCCATCCACAATGGTCATGGAGAACAACGTTCTCTTCTTTGGAACTCCCTTCAAAATTGTATAAGGCCATTATTATTGTTTTGTTTCTGGAGAAAACCTGTCCAGTCTTTCAGTTTTTCCTTCTAAATCGGGTTTTTCAAACCTCTGATTAATCTTGCTACTCTCTTTTCCTGACTTGCTGAAATAAATTCATCTTTCTTGAAATACAGAGGTCAAAACTGGACATAAAATTCCAGCTGAAGAGAGTGGAAGGGTGCTCTACACTGCTGTATGTATACATGATAACTCTGTAAATCCTCTATGATGTTTTCCTTTTTTTATAAGAGAGTCCTGGGCAAGTTAGTGCCAGCTGCAAATTCAGTAAAAAATACCTTGATTCTGTTACAAAAGTTATTGCTCAATATTTTACATTGAGTAGATGAGACCTCTGTGGAATGTCCTTTACTTCAACCTTCCAATTTGAACGTGATCCCTGGGTAACCCAAGTGTAGTTTCCCAAGTGTTTTTACTTGCCACGTTTTCCTTGTTTTCCCCCTTTGGGAATTTTGTGTGAGATGAAGTCTGCAGTCTTGCTGAAGTCGAGAAGTGTGACATCTACTGAGTCTCAGCTTGGATACAAAAATATTACTGCTACAAGTTAAAGTACACATAAAGTAAATCCCACTTCATATCAATGAGTTGCTTTTAATTTGTAAATATTTGTAATAGTAGGGATTGTCAAGGCTCCACGTGTCCTGTGCTGTCATGTTTGCATATGATGATTTATAAAAGGAGGTGTACCAGTCCTTTCTTTCCCCATGTTGGCCTTAAAGATGGGACAGAACCTGAGAAAGATCCTATTAATGTTAGAGAGTTTGGCTGATTTCTTCAAAGGCCTTATAGTCTTTCTCAGCTCTTCTGATTTTTCTCACTTAGAGCCTCTCTGACTTGCCTAAATGGAACATTTTTGTGGTCAGCCGTGATGGATTTGAAATGTGAAGACATTAAGCTCCTGTACAGTTTTGAATGTGGACTTAACCCACTGAAATGGACACTGAAGGCGGTTTCTCTATAGGAGAGTGTTGAATACTGAGGTGATACTCAGTAAACTCTTTTGTCCTTTGCAAGGATGGAGAAGGTTCCTGTGCAGCATTTTATGGAGACTCAGAAAAGCCTATTTGACTGAACTGTGGGATTTGAGATGTCTTCCAGATTAGTCAAGCTGGAATATGAAACTGAGGGTGTTTTCCAGTAATTTGGAAAAGGCAGAAAATCTGATACCTGGCATACCATATGGCTGCAGTTGGACATCAGAGAAGCTGGGAATGTTGATTTACCTATGGATAGGTTAGATATTCACATGGCACAAATGTGTATATATACCCAAGATAGCAGGTTTACCCTTGGCACCATTTTTCAGACTGGGAGAGGTACCCCTCCTGCCACATTGTTATGAACAGAAAGTGAGGCATGAGACACTACATATTTTTCTGAAGCGTGAAAAGTTCTAAGCTTAACGAAGTGTGATGTGGGCTGAAAACTGTGGAGAGTTCTGTGGTGTGCTAGTTTCAGAAATAAGGTGCATGGCTCTAATTATTGACATGTATGAAATGTTGGAGTGCTGTTTACATAAGCAAATTTAAATCTGATAGTGGTGTTGCTACAGAGTTGCTTTCTGTTTTTTACTCATGCTTGGCTTGAATGAATCCACTCCATTTGTCTTAAATTTTATCTAAACCTTTAAACATGTTCACATTAAATTTTGGAATTAAAACTTTCCATGTGTTTTTTTTTTCTCTTTTTAAAATGATGTTGAAATGTCTGTTCCTCTCCCTTTTTTTCAACCCCTAAACACTCTTATTTTCAGCTGGTTTTAGGTTGCTTTGCCTTTGTCATGCCTGTGGAAAGTATTCAACAGACTAATCCAAAAATTTGAACTACACTGTGGTAGAATAAAAGCTATACATCACCAATAATTCTCTCTGTATACATCAGTGCTAAGTAATAATACATTTTATGACATTAGTGCTTCCAGTGCTTCTAAATTTTCTGTTATTGCCTTGCTTAACGTATAATAGCTTGGAAGGTAGATGGATTGTGAACTTCCAAAGTATTACAAAGTATCTTTCCAAATGCCTGGAGAATTTTTGAGAGGGGATGATTTTAATTTTCTTAGTAAACTTTTTCACTTCCAAGAAAAGCAGTTCAGCCTGTGATTTTATTGGTCAAGTGAGGAACCTTGATAGAATTTGTTGGTGAGCTTTTAGATAATTTGAACATAATATTTCTACAGTTATAACAGCTTCAGAAAATTACCATTTTTCAATTAATAGAAGATTTTGCTTCCTCTTTCACTCATAGCTGGGAAAAACAGAAAGATGACTCAGATACATGTAGGTTTTACCAGGAGTCTATCTGTTCTGTATCTAGTGAATGCTACTAAGAAGTCTGCTGCCTGTGGAAAATGAAACGTTAGTGAGATGATGGAGTTCTGGCACTTGTAATAATATCTGTTTTGGAATTAGGCAAGGGAAGATGTACTGAGGTAGGAGTCACAGGACCGTAGCCTCGATGCTCAGTTGCTCTGAGCTGGTAAATGCCTGTGGATTCCACTGATGGTATTGACATTGATCTCTCCACTGAAACACTGGAAACAATGTATGTTGTATGGCAAATTAAAATTTCCATGTTGATGTGCCAACTGAATTTTAAACCTATTCTGTTCTAAGTTAAACATGTAATTTGAGTGGTCCTAACTTTCATGACACAGGTTCTTGGTCAAGTTATTCCCTAGTGTAGGTAGAATAAGCAAGGATAATATCAAAGAGTGTCAATGACTGTGCTAGATATTAGCTGATATGATGAAACTATTCTCTTTAGGCCAGTCGAATGCCAGCTGCTCTAAACAGCTGAAGGAGAAGCCTTCTCAACAAAGAATCTTGAGAAATAAGTAGTGCTGTCAAACATCATTTTGTTGTCTGAGCTTTCCAAAGTTTTCCTACGGTAGTGCAGAAGTAGAATTGTAATTGCATATCCAGTTTCGCTTGCATCCTTTGATCAGTTTTCTTCCTAATAACCATCTAGTCTTGATGAATTCATTTTTCTGAATTTTCCCTATTTTTAGAGGTTTTAGTAGTGTTACTGCAATGATGTCTTTCCCCTACTTCACTCTGTTAGGATTTGTTTGGGTTTTGGTTTTTTGATTCTCTTTTCTCCAAGCATGGTTTTATATCTGTTTCTCTATCAGTCTTCATTGTTAACACAATTTCTTTTTCACTCTTCCACTTACTGTATTGGAATGAAGACAGAAACATAGGTCTTGTTCATCTTTGCTTTCTAAATGTGTTTATGTATTTGCTTAATTCTGCACAAAAAAATTTTTGCATGGTTTTGGGGAAGGAGAGATGGAGAGGAGTCTGGGACTTGAAAGCATTAGTCAAGGCTCAGGCAGGGATTGTTGTGACTTTGGTACTGGTAATTATTTCTAAACTGCTTCAAAACATGATCACATTACTGTGTGTGTCATTGTGAGAGACAGAGTTTTTTTTTGGTTTTTTTTTTTTTTTTTTTAATTCTTACATCTCTTAAGAAAAATGCTTTGGTATTACATAATTGCCATTGTTCTTTTGCATGTTTTTCATAGCATCCTCCTGGGCAGTTGAGAAGGAAGTACAGTTCCTGCTCCACTATTTTTCTGGATGACAGCACAGTCAGTCAACCAAACCTCAAGTATACCATCAAATGGTGGGTTTTATAATTTTATTTTTTTTCTAAAACCTACATTATATATATGTATTTATTTAGTTTTTGAAGTAGTAAATTTATTTAATTCAAACATGTTCCAGAGGTAGTGAATAGGATGAGTAAAGGGTATTAGTCTTATTTTAGGCCCGTGCAGAATCAACCTCCCAATACTGCATATCTCAACAGAAAGCAATTAAGGATCTCGAATTCCAGCAGCTGAAATCTTTGTGTTTCAGTGTTCAACTGGGCACTTGCTTTGGATGAGTCCTCAAAACTTACTCGGGTACTTTTTTATTCAGAATTTTGGAATTATCTGAAATTGAAGAGCTCTTTTCTGTTCATGAGAAACTGCTCATTTGCCAAGCTTTCCTACCAGTTTTCTGTTTGAAATGGAAATTAATTGCCTCCAGATGAGTTTCCTTATTGAGTACAAGGGCACTGTCAGTTTTTTTACACAGCAGTGGGGAGCTTTGCTTTGTATGTGGTGTGTACATGGGCTTACCCTTGGGGGATGTCTCAGATGATCATTTCAGGTCTCACTGGTGCCTTTTTAGATTTGGAGAGAAATGAAATTGATATTTATAGATTATTGTTCTTTACATTTTGTACAGTAAGGGGAAAAATGAGAGAACAAATGCTCAGGCATTTTATGCTGTTTGTTCATCATGATTGCTGGTACAATCTCTTGAGTTGTTTGCAGGTTGGTTACCTTGGTGTACTCAAATGCGAAAATTTACTAAGACAAAATTTGTACTACAGAGATACTTACATGAGAGACAAATATATGCAGACTAACACGTCCAAAAGAGATTGTGATGTTGGTGATCACTAAAGCATGTTCTTAATTTTTCTGTTTAAGGAAAAAAGAGGGGAGTGGAGAAGGGATTTGCAGTCAGACTTGACACATCATTCAATTCCTCATCAGCTCTTTCTGCCTGAAATACAGTTCTGCTTTTCCTCAAGTTTCTTTAATTAGTAACTTAAAAATGAAAAAGGTTTTTCTTTTTTGAGGTGGTTTCTTTTTTTCTTCCTGGAATCTCTCTCTTCTAGTCTAAAATCCTTTGCGTGCAGATTTTTGTAAGTGCAGCCTTTTGAGTCTGTTTTGGGTCCCTTTTTGCATCAGAACTGAGACTACTTGTGGAAAGAAAGAGTTCAGTTGTCTGCAGCAGCCAAGAAGCGTTTTCAGCGGGCCATGGTGGCCAGCAGCAGCCTTGTCAAAGAGGAGACAGAAAGACAAGCTGGGAGGGAGCAAGGTGGTGAATTTTGAGGGAGAGCTGTGGTGTGTGGCGGTGGGCAGAGCTGTGGGAAGAGCCGGCGCTGGGTGCAGGTGGGAGGCTGGGCAGGACAGGGGCCAGGCTGCTGGCGTGGGAAGGGCTGGAAGCTGCAAGGGGTCAGAGGGTTTGACAGGGGGTTATGTGGGGTGAGAAACTGGACTCTAGCACATGAGGCCTCTGGGTGAAGAGTCTTTTTCCACCTCTCCTGTCTGCACATTTAACAGACCTAAGGGTGGGGAGGTTGCAGGATTATTGCTTTTGTAGTACAACTTTATTTCTTCCCCCATCTGGATGGTCTCTGCAGATAAATGACTAGTGCACATAGGTAAATCTATGAGGGATGTATTTTGGCCAGCTCATTTATTTCTTCTGGGTCATATTATGCACTGGTGTGTTTAAAATATTAGCAAATCTGCTGGAGATCTGCAGCATCATTGGCGTGGCCAGGGTAGGGTGATGGGGAAACTCCATAATCTTCTTTTCTGCACACCGAGTACCAGCTGAACCAGCGTATGAAAATCAGAATGAAACTTAGACCTGAATTATTCTATTACAGCTCTGAAAGACTTTCAGATTCTGTTACAGATTTCTAAATAGTAAATATTTTCTAAACTTAATTTGACATTTTGCTACAAAAGCAAGCATATGGGCACCAAGCACAGCTCTGCACATAGGTTCTTGTGTCTGCTTTCATAAAGTGAACTGGAGCTTCAAGTGTATACCTACAGGCATAATTTAAATTTTAGGGCTAATTCATTTTGTGAATAGCTTTCAATCAAATTAATTTCATTAATAAATGTGGTTTTTATGTTCAGTGAGGACTGTCCTTTAAATGTCCATGGTATCTCTTAATTCCTTAAATATGTATCTATAGAAAAAATACAATTTAAAAAGCATTTATGATCTAAAAACTTGTAATGCAGCCAAGGAAAAGTGAAAATGCTCATACAAAGTTAGTAAAATGTATTTTCCACTATATGGCAGTTAAAAAAAAAAAAAAAACCAAGAGAGAACCAAAAAAACCAAAACCAAACCTGAAATAATTTAAAATTCTGCTAACAAGGTAGCTCAAATAGTATACTTTTTTCCTAACTTACAGTATGTCTGTTTGGAATAAAATTATAGAGCAACCAATTCATTGTTCTAAGAGACCTTTTATGGAGAAGAAAAGAGGGGGAATTTTGTGTCTGTATAAGATGTATGCATTTTACAGTGAGTTACTGACAAGTCAAATTGTCAACAAACAGAATCGGTGAACTCCCTCCTCCTTCCCATTTAGCTTTGGCTGGGTTTTATGCTGCTGGAACAAGTAGCGAGGGTGCTGGTTCTACTTTATCCTTCAATAAAGCTCTATCATGAGTAAAGCATGTGTCCTTTGATAAAGCTGGAGTCATGAGTTGAAAACTGGAGAATAATCTGGAGATTAATCATGAGAAGCCATGTCTTTATTGTCTTCAGTCACAAATGTGAATGAGATCAGTTATATAATTAAAATCTTAGCTTTCTGTCAATATAAGGACATGTTTTGTCTTTGCACAGAATATAAACAGTGTGGTTGAGAACATGGGAAATGCATAAGGCAGTAAGTTATTCGAGGAGTTGTCTTTCCTAAGCTAAAATAAGTAACTTGATGCCATAAAACTTCAGGAGCCTGGTATTTAAGTCTGGTATGTGAGTGACTACATAAAAAGGCAGACAAAAGTTAATGGATTTAAATATAAAATCATAAGCTAATGGTGATTAAACCATTTTTGTGTTAGCCTGGCAGCATTAGCAAACAATATAAGAGAATGTCCAGTGCCTGTGGTACTTTATCTTCAACCTTAGAAGTCAGTAGGAGTTTTATTATTGACTTTAGTGGAGTAGGGCATTAAATGGAAGGTATGTGCAACTTGGTATGTGGAATATGAGTATTTTTGTAAGGTACTTCACTACTAGTGAAAAGGAGGCACTTGGAGTGTACTGAACAAATATTATAAAATTGTCTGTTCACAGCGATTTTCCTGGTATCTAACAGTGAACAGAATAAAATAGGCTGTTGAGCATACTTTTTGTCAAGCATTGTGCTAGGTTTTAAATTTGCATGTTAATGTGACAAATAATATAATTTGACAGTCCTGAGATATTTAACTCTGTATTTTTCTTTACAGTGTAGCTCTTGCAATATATTACCACATCAAAAACAGGTATGTGAATAATGAAATCTTATACTGAAGATATCTTTAATCAGAACAAATGCACTGTCTAGACCCTGAAAATCCGTACTGTTTCTTTCAAAATGTTTTTGGGTAGGAGTTCTCTTATTTCCCATGTTAGAAATAAGAAACATATTCTTTTGTATTTTTATATATATTGTTTTGTTTAGAAAAATAAAAATTAGAGGATTATGTACCATAAAAATCTGGAAGTTCAGCATTGAAAAACTTTGATGATTCAGTGTTTGGTTTTATGTGCATGGTTACATGTGTTGCAATTACATATAGAGAAATCTGAGTAGGGTCTTTCAAAGTTATTTTTTAGCTCCACCTTTGTAAAGTTAACTGTGTCAATCCATGATCAGTTAATGTAAATGGATTTTGAAATAAAAACCATTAATTATACAGTAAGAGTGACACTGCATAGATGTAATTCAAGATGCCTCAGAGACAGAGCAGGTCCTGGCTTATCTCTTCTGGTGTATTATGTTTCAGATCTCTGCTCAGTCAAATTGATTAAAATTGAATAGAAAGTTGGTTCTCTAAAGAGTAACTTGGTGCATAAATTAGTTTTCTTCATGTTGAATTGTGCTTTTGTATCTTAAATCCCCTGTCCTCATGATATGTCACAGTATCATAAAATAATATTTTCTGACATTTCTAAGGAGAGATTATATAAATACTTTAAGTGACTTTTCTGTCCATGGCTTTTCAGTGTGTCTTTTCAAGGAACTTGGCTTAGATCTCGATCTAACATAAAAAAAGCCACTTGCACTTTTTTTTTTTTTTCCTGAACTGTAAGAAGTCCGACTAGAACAAAAGGAATTACTCATAAGTTTAAAGTTAAGCTGGTATGTCATTTGGGTCCATGGTTCAGGTCACTGGAACCCATCACATTTCCTGAAACAAGGCTGACATCTAAAGAGAAAACATTAGAAGTGCACAAGGGCCGAAAGGCTTAAGGCTTGATCCCTGCTGAAAGCTCTCAGAAGACTTCCCAAAATGTCAGTGGGCCTTGGACTGAAACGTGGCAGTATGTAAAGAAAAAGTTAGAGTAAAATCTTTTCTCAAACTTTTAATCTCATTTCTCAGGAAATGAGGCATTAGTGATCATGCTTGGATTACTTGCTCATCCATCTGTGATTCCCTTTTTCCCCTTTCCTTCATCGTCCCTAGGTTAGTTTGACTAACTAGTCAATTTTTACTACACTTGACTAAATAATAGAGTTCTCAAAGATAATAAAACTCTGAAGTTTTGTAGAAGTATGTTATTCTTAAGCACTATGTTAAGTATCATGCCAGCTGAGTAAAAGGCCCAGTAGAATGGGGCACGTTAGGGAGAATCTTCAGTAAAAGCTCACAGTAGAGCAGGAAGAATCCAGAGCCAAAGGAATCCAGAGCTGAACTACACCAGGCTCACTGGACACCGATTGCCATGGAACTAATTTGTGTCTGCACTAAAATATGCCCATTTATGGTCTTTACAGTACCTGATGTGAATTTGATTTACAGCTAGGAGACAGGGAGCCTAAACCTTTATAAAAGAGAGGGTCCCGTGTCAGTGTCTTGAAAACAAATACATTCTGACTGTTATCTTCTTGGGAAACTTGCTATCTGTCCTTTCGCTTTTGGGATGGAGAGGTGATTTATTCAGGAAGAACTGGTTGCTGCTTCTCCCTCCTGAAGCTGCCTGGGATGGGGAGATGTTTTGTAAACGTGCCCTCTGCTGCACTCAGGACAGATGGTCTCTGCAGTGATGCTGTAGCAGGCTTGCGTATGTCAATTAATGACTTTGAAATGAAGGATGTGAAGTGATTGTTCTGTCTTTGGTTGTCTCTGATTTAGAAACAGAGGGACAACATGATAACAACATTCAGTTGTACTTGCTGCTGAAACAGCAATAGCAAAATGTATGTTGCTTCCTGCCATTATAGGTGAAAGGAAGCTGTTGACGTATGTGCTAGATTTCGGTTCATTATGGGGGGTGGAGAGTAAGAAATCATTGTAACTCATACAGACTCAAGGTTGATTTTGACAAAAAAAATGAGTCAAGTTGCTGCTTTGCCAGATAAGAATTTTCAGACAATATTTATTTGTTCTTTTCTCCTGCACAGTAGGCTTAAAACTAAATTGCTTCCTAATATTCCAGACTCTCACCAATCCTAGTTTTTTGAGAAATTATATGTGGAGTAGAATATTCCTACATATGTTTCCCACATTTAATTTGATTGTAACAAGACAGTTATCATTCCTTCTTTTCCCAGTGTCTCCTATTGTTATATTGTTTTGCTTTCTGCAGCGTTTGTTGTGCTCAGCTATTCAACAAGTGGTAAAAGACTACACCTATCTTGTTTTTAGAAGAATGCATAAGTATTGGTGAATTTTCTACATCAATAAATAAAATAAAATAAACCCCAACAAACTAAACATGAAAAATGCTTTGATCAATTAGTAGATGATTCGTTTTTAAAAGATAACAATGTGAATATGTTTTAATAAAGACAAACCTATCAAATCTTTTTTTATGTAATAGAATTTCTGAGGGCAATCAAATGTGCCTTCATAGCGTGCAGCAGCGACAGCATGAAGAAATAAAATAGGAAATTCTTTCTTTCATCTCATTGTGATGGGACACAGTTTACTGTAGCACATCAGTGATTCTGGTGAGACTGTTTCTGCATTAAGATACTAGCCTCTTTATGTAGGAGTTAGAGTCTGGCCTAAAATCCTTGCCAATTAGGAATTTTCTAGTAAATATCTCAATCTGCTTTTTTGTTTTAATTTAGGTACTCCTTTAAAAAAAAAAAAAAAAAGTGTTTATTTCCAGTGTTAGCAGACTTTATGTTAGAAAAAATGTCACCTTCGGATGTTGAGGTTTAAGTGTTAGCTGCTAGTAAGTACATTTTGTAGACATGAATCCACTGTAAAACTCGTGTTTGCATGCTCTGAGAGGCACGTGCTGTTGAGTAAAGATAGAAAATGTATTCAGTGGTTTCTCTAAGAACTCTGTGGCCAGAGTACCAGGGATGCTATAAATAAAGATGGGATTGTAATAAGTAGGTCACATGGGGTACATCTGTCCAGAAAGTGTCCAGTTCTAACTGGTACTGTTATACCATTCGCTTTTGTGATTGTTAGTGTCCCTGACAAGATCACACACAGCAAAAATCTTACATTGCGTACTGGATGTTAGGCTTGCGAAGCTGCATCAACGTGCATGCTGATCTTGAGCAACAGGGATCTGAGAGAGAAATAGCAAATAAAACCAATGAACAGGAATATTATTTTGTCTGAATTTTTTTGCATGCACTGCTTTTTGCTTTCAGAAGTTATTAATAGGATAGGGTTCTCCAATTAAATAAAAAGTTAAGTATGTATGTATTAACCAAAGGATAACTGTAAAAATAGGGTGCATATTTGTAAATGCTCATGATGTTGACAATAAAGAAGGAGGAGAAATTAAGAGATTGCAAGGATTAACATGATGGAGTTAAGAAAAGGAGAATCAGCTGGGCTGATTTTATTATAGGTTTATATTGGAAGTACCTGTTAGGCTGTGAAAAAGCCACACAGTAGAGAGCACAAAAGCTGTGTATCTTGGGCATTGAAAGGTGAAAATTTTAGCATACTTTGTAATATGGATTTCATATTACCTGTGAACCTTTTGGCATAATAAGTCCAACTTCTATTTGAAAATCTCATTTCTGCAGTGTTTCTAAGCACCCCGCAGCATGAGGAGTATTGGAGTTGTAACAATACACTTGCCCCTATGAGAGCTGCGTGCTGCTGTGTTCAGATAATGACACTACTTTGGTTTCAATACTTTTTAGGGACACAGACGGAAGAATGCTCTTAGATATTTTTGATGAAAACCTTCATCCCCTTTCGGTAAGTTCATTTGCCTCTTCTTCCCTTTCATGTGAACTGTCTTTCTTTCTGTCTGCTTCGTTTTGTTTCAGTCATCTATTTGGAAGTATTTCTTCCTTAGAAATCCGAAGTGCCACCAGATTATGACAAACATGACCCAGAGCAGAAACAGATTTACCGCTTTGTTCGGACGTTGTTCAGTGCTGCTCAACTGACTGCTGAATGTGCCATTGTCACCCTGGTGAGTGTCTGAGAGATAACGTCAGCCATCTGACAGACCCTGTTTTGTTCCCAAAGCTTGGGTTTGTATGATTTAATAGATCTAGGTGCTGCCAGGGAATTTTTCTCACCATGGAGACCAAGGGAATTTCTTGATGGGAAGAGATACTACAGTTCATTTTCTTGGGGAGAGTAAATGATGGAAGAAGAGATTGGGTAACGTGACACAAAAGCTGGGATTATGTCTTCCCCTCACAGAGTGATAATGTTACAGGTCACCAGGGTGACTAATAGAAAACACAGGTGGCATAAGGGGTCTGAACAGGAGGGAATGTTAAAAGCAGAAAGGCTTCCACTTTTGGGGGGTTTGCTATGTATCATTGCAGCTCCCAGCAGAGACTTGGCAACAGCTGTAGGTAATTTAAGAGCACTAATAAGAATTGATGAGCACATGAAGGATTTGGTGAGTGACTGGGATATGTTGGTGATGGCTCTTTTTTACTTGCACTGTACTTGTCTTTCAAGACCACCTCATAGGATTGAACAATTGCAGTCAAGGCTGACGTTTAGCTACTTAAAAATAGCATGACACAAAAGAAGGTTCAGATTTTCGGCTGGTGTGGATCAGCATAGCAGTGTGGATTAAAGGAGCTAAAGTGATCTCCATCAGCTGAGACTTTCTTAATTTTCCTGAAATTTTTATCCTGACAACTCTGACAAGCCTCTTCAGCTTTCAGGCACGATTTTGGCCATGTTCTTGACTCCGAGATTTTAAAAGAATGACACTTTTTTTTTTTTTTTTTAACCACTACAACATGTGGTTTCGTAACAGCTTTGTTATGCACTTGAGATGGAAGAAGGGGAAATTGGAGAAGGTGGATTTTGAAGTCCAGACCGAATCATTTCCTCTGTTAATCTCTCTCCTTTGGCTTCTAAGATTACTTGGCAGGCTTTTCTCCTTCAGACAGTCAGAATGAGTTGTACTAGCCAGTACAGAACAGGAATATGAGAGAAATAGGGCAAGAAACACCCTGCAGTGCTCCACCCTTGCATTTTGAAGTATTGCTCTACCTAGTTATTTGACCTAGCCATTACTTGTTCTCTGAAATGACATTTTGTCTGTCTTTTTTACATAATTGCACTAAGTACTTGTCCTTCTCCCTTTTCTTCCTAAGTGTTTTTCTGCTGGAGGCAAGATACGTTGTGTGAATCAGTATGATCGTGTGTAGTTTAATTAATCCACTGTCAAATACAGTGAAACCTTGTTGTAGCTATCTGTTGCTTGAACTAAGGTTATTTGATCAATGAAGGCACTGTTTAGTAGAAAAGGAAGAAGGCTTTTCTTAACAACAATATCTTCCTGTTATTGCAATGCATGGAAAGTTCTTCCCACAAATCTTGTTAACCCAGACATATATTTCCATATCTTCAATTTGTAACTAGTCCCTTGCCTCTTATGAGTCTCCTGTGGTTTCCCTGCAAGTAACTCTTTTTATGGGATCTGCAGTGAAGTATAAATGGTTTTAACTCATTTGTTACATTGCAGAAGCAGTTTCCATAGTTTTTAGCACTTGAAACCTTAGGTGGCTTGGGTTTTTTACTCAACACAGTGATAACAGATAAACTGTTTTATAACCTAGTTCTCAAAGCAGCCATGCAGACGTTTGCACATAGATTTGGTGCAGGTGATCAGCATTACTGTTCTTCTTCTATCATTCTTGCCCATGTTTTCAGGATAACAGCACCTGCCTGATTCCTCTTCCCAGAAAGCTTCAGACTGTTTGGACAAACAGTGTTTTACAAGTATGAAATTTTGCTTCTACTGTTTTCTGTTTCCTCTGTATTTCTAGATCCCATTTCTTTTTTTGTTAGTGTCATCAGGAGGGGCCCCAGAGACAGTTTGTGTTGTTTCTGAAATGCTCAAATGTGGAAATTAATCTGTTAAAAAGCTATCAACCCTTCCTCCCTCCCCACACTGCTGAAATCTGAGAGTGTTGATATTGCTATTTGTGAACCCTCCAAGTGCTTTCAATTTTGATATCCTGTCTGGAGAAGAAGAGAGCAGCATTCCCTGCTGGAGCTTATGTTTTGCCGTAGTCTGGCCATCCGTCGGAGAGCAATCTGATAGCCCTGTCTGCCACTTGTTCCTCCTGGGAGGGTTGCCAGAAGGCAGGAAGTGTATCTCTGGAGATCACAGTACATTTTGAACAAGATGCTACAACTGTTATCTTTCTTTCACTCACTCTAATTATTTTTAAAGAGTCCTAACCACCCTTTTTTACTGCCCAAATTATTAACGTACTCTAAGGTGTGTACTTGAATGCACTTGCTGTTTGCTTTTTTAAGTGCCATTAGCCAGGTAGAAGCAGCAGTTACAATTGACTGTATAGCAGTCTGTATGTTCAGCACAGGAGCTGAGTAAATGTGAAACTCCAGACTGTTAGATAAGCTGGTCTCCAGCAAAAAGCCAGCATTGTGTTGCTTCAGGCACTTAATTAAAATACTTCAATTAAAGCTTCCACTATTACAGTGAAACCAATTTATAATTAAACAAAAAATTTCATTTTCACACAGCCTCCAGAGCTGCCAAGAGATTTCCCATACTGATGGGTGAAAAATTAAAATATTAGATTGAAACAATTAATTGCTAATTCACATTATTTATTTATAAAATAATACCATAAGAATAAAATTAGTTTTAAGAATTGTGTTGCTGATTTAAAGTCTTGCAAATAGTGGTTTTTGTCCCAATGAGCAGCTGAACTGTGCTCTATGACCTGACTTTATGAGAAAAATAATATGCATATGCTTCTCCTTCGACCCAGGGTATTCCCAGCCTTGCTAAAACTAAGAAATACCTGTCTCATCTTCACCATCTCCTAAAGTGCAGAGGTAGCAAGTTGTATTTATGTTACTCTACTAATTGGCTAGCAAATTAAAATATGAACAGGACCATTATCCGTACCAACAGGAAAACAATACAATGTTTGCATGTCATGAGAATTAAATATTTATGCTCTGTTCTTTTTTTTCTGTAAAAACAGTCCTATTAACTAGACCTGAAGAGGAGAATGGTCCAAGTTTTCTGCTTTGCCCTGGCATGACTTTCTGAGTTTTTTGCAAGTAGGCCAAATCTAAGGCTCCTAATATACTTCTGTGTCTTTAGTAGTTTCAGAGAGGGTACATTTTGCATTTGCAATATACAGATAGGCACACATGCTAGGTCTGTATGCTATAGACTGATCAGATATGGTAATATGTAAATACATACAGTACATGAGCTGAATTATTTCTGTGAAGTTCAGAGGAGTGTGCTTTTGAAAGGTGTTACGAAGTTCATACTGTGACTGAGAGGATTTGATATATTTGATATACATTCTATATTGGGAAATTTGAAATACGTAAGAATAAACTCCTCTTATGAAAAATAGGGATTTAATTAATTCAGCCAGATTGTTGAACTGTGTTGTGAAAATTATAGTATTTGAGGAGAACTTTGTTTTCTTTGTGTTTGGAAGAAATGAGAAAGCTTTTAATTTATTTCCTTTCACTGGGATATTTTTGAGTGCTGATAAAATAACTTTTTGTTTCATGTTTCAACTGAAGTATCAATAATCTGATATTTGTTTAAAGGAAAACAAAAACACAAAAGAAAGTGATCAGAGTCCATAGAGACACTTGATTGGCAGCAGAGGTCCTTTCCAGCTGTCCCAGTATAACTCCTGATCCTTACGCAGCTAATGGAAGATGCAGGTCCCTCCGAAGACCTCAGAGTACAATGCAAAGTACTGATTATTGCCTAGTTTAACACTGTCACTCTCCATCCAGTCACCATAAGGGACTGTGAATGTGGTTGGGTGAGCAGGGCAAAGCATTGAAGCTGAGCTCCACTTCGTGTAAGAAGCTCATGAGAAGAGTTGTGTGTATCCAATATTATTGGTGCCCACCTTTGTCCTGGGCTTCAAGCATGCCCTGGGAGGTGGCTGAAGCTCACCACTTCGCCACATCTGAAGGTCTCCCAGGTGCAGAGAGAAGGTCTTTACTGTGCTGTGGATCCTGAGCCCCTTGGCAGCTGTCTATATATCAGGGTACACTCTGAAGAAGGCCAAGAGGAACAGGGGCTTTGTACCTGTGTGCGAGGCACTGGTGGGAGCAGAAGACTCAGATTCTGGTCCCTGGTTTTAGGGCTATTCTCATCTTTTGGCTGCAGTCTAACATACAACATATGAATGATTATTGGTTAATACTTGTATGTCTCTTGGTCAAGTCTTGCTTTAGGCTTGCTGGGATATGCAGTTCATAAAAAGAGAATGTTCAAGCTGGGGGTTGGGAGGGAATTTTTTTTTAAATCCCCAAGAGAAGAGGACATTCAGTCAAAGAATGGGTGTCTGTTTCCTCATGCATCTCTATGAGCTTCTGTGTGGTCAAGGAATGAATACTGATCCCGGTTTTAGACTAGAAAGTCAGTGTTGCCTAATAGTTTGAGTGCATTTTATATATTTTATAGATCTTTGTCTTAAAATGAGTAAATTAGGGGACAAACCTGGAGATGTGTGACTTTTCTCTCCATTCCAGTAGTGCTTCCTATAAATACCTACAATGGTACTTTGCAGTTCACATTTTTGTGAGTTCTGTGACTATGTTTGTTACTCTTTTTCAACATTTGGTCTCAAAAATAAAAATTAGATGAATTTTCAAGGATCATGATGATGTGATGTCCTTTTCCATCAGACCTTTGTGGAACATTTTAAATGCTCAGCTGGGCAATTGCAAAGTACAGTTATTTCTGGAGAGTCGTGGTAGGGAACTGGCTGATTGCTTAGAACAGAGCATATGGCAATTTAGTGATTGGATTAGAGCTGTAATTTGGCTATATGGGACCCACTACCAATTATAATTATTTCTGTACAAGTAACTTTTTAGTTTCAAGGCATTGTGACGCACTGAAGTTTTCTCATTAAAGAGAGAGGACTGTGTGTTTCTTTGTGATGTGTTGGGATGGAAACTGTCTTTATTAGTTAT